CACTATCATGAAAGAGTACACCATCAAGGCCGGGGAATGACCACAAATGAGCTCCGTTCCAATGGCATATGGATCCTCGGATGTAGTAACCTGGTCTCATCCCATATCTACAAGTGCATCAAGTGCAGGAAATTCAGAAGAGATATGGAACAACAAAGGATGTCAGATCTTCCTGTAGACCGAACAGAAGCCACACCGCCATTCACTTTCTGTGGCATGGATTGTTTCGGCCCGTTTTACATCAAGGAAGGGAGAAAGGAGTTGAAAAGGTACGGACTGTTACTCACCTGTATGTGCTCCAGGGCAATTCACATTGAAATGCTCGACGACTTGACCTCGGATGCCTTCATTAACGCCCTGCGTTCATTCATTGCCATTCGTGGAGCAGTGCGGCAGATAAGGTGTGATCAGGGGACAAACTTCGTTGGTGCAAGGCGAGAGTTTGTTGAAGCGTTGAGAGAGATGGAACAAGAGGAACTCAAGGAGAGGGGATGTGAGTTCATCTTTAATACCCCAACCTCAAGTCACATGGGCGGAGTCTGGGAAAGACAGATTCGCACCATCAGAAGTGTTTTGATGTCTATCTTAGAACAGTCAGCCAAACAACTTGACTCCTCCTCTCTACGAACGTTCCTATATGAGGTCATGGCAGTTGTGAATAGTAGACCACTGACCACTGACAACCTGAATGATTCGTGCAGTCCAGAGCCATTAACACCAAACCATATTCTGACCATGAAGTCCACAATCATATCACCTCCCCCTGGGAAGTTCGTCAGGGAAGACCTTTACCTCCGGAAGAGATGGCGTCGAGTTCAGCTCCTGGCCAACAACTTCTGGTCACGTTGGAAGAAGGAGTATCTTTTAAATCTCCAACACAGACAAAAGTGGACCAAGGACCGCAGAAATGCACAGGTCAATGATATTGTTCTTCTGAAGGATGATGGGATACCACGGAACAAGTGGAAGTTGGCAAAGGTCATGCAAGTTTATCCTGGTAAGGATGGAAGAGTGAGAACACTCAAGTTGTTGCTGAGCGATCCAACACTGGATAAAATGGGAAGACGCACCTCCAAACAAGTCTACCTGGAGAGGCCTATTCAGAAGACGGTTACGCTGTTGGAGGCAGACTAAAGACCACAGTGTACCATTCTCTCACTCTCAGTCTATCAACTAGTCTTATTGATTTATTATTGATTTATTACATGATAATATATAAGGTAATGTTCATATACAGTATATGTCTCCCATAAGTCGTTCTAAGAAAATCACTTGTGATTTGGTGGGAGTGTAACTGCCCCACATCTTTAATGCAAATATCATTTATTTGTTTTTTTGGTTCCTACCCACCTGTTCAGTTAAGACGGTCACTGTTGTTTTGTCTACACGTACCACTTTAATGATACACCGCCTGGCAGAGCAGCAAGGGCGAAACCACACAGTTGGGGTTGTCTCCACAACTTCGCGGTAAAAGTTGGGAGGTAACAAGCATAAAGCAGGTCTACAACATTAAATGTAAACTAAGAAGACGAAAGGGGCAGGAGGGAAGAATAAGGACAGATTCAGCCCCCTTTTTGGTATGTTCTCTTAGTGCGCCAGCCCTACGAGGCGTTTGTGTCATGAGTAATTTCATATTGGATCTGGTAGACTCTCATAGTAAGGATTCTTGCGGGTCTCGCATATCTTATCATACACACTAGCAGGGTATTGGCCACCTTTGCCATGAGTCTCTCCTGTTTCAAGGGGGGGGCACAGGGGCATTTCGGTGGGTGACATTTGTGCTGCTGCTAGTTGGGCATCCCCACACACATTTATTCGGTTTTACCGTCTAGATGTAACAGCGCCTTCGCTGGCGCACTCAGTCCTGAGTGTGGGTTCATATTAATTGTGTGCTAGCCCATGGGGAGGGCTTGTGGTGGTGTTGTGGGCTTCGGAGCATGCAATTCGGGAGTGGGCCACATCTCCCATAGTGAGATACCGAGTGAGGTTTGAAAGAGAACTTTTGGTTACCAGGGTAACCAAAAGACTTGTGGTGATAAGTTTCAGTGTTGACACAGCATTTTGGAAGTGAATGTCAAAGTTAATCAGTTGGGATAACATTGATTTGAGCATACCACTTGCTTTTTGAGAGACACCACTAAAACAGACAGTCAATGATAGAGGGACCTGCCGTTCAAGACAAGTGTTCACATGTGTTTGCCCCATCTGACCACTTTGATTGAAGGGCTTTGAGCGTAGGAGTAAAGCAATACAGGAACGGATGGAAAGAAAAAAGACAGATGTGGGTATCCCACCTGACAGCGAAAAGTTAATGAGTCTTCTGTTGCCCAGTCCATGGTTGACTTCAGGACTGACCACTGGCTTTAATACCTGAGGACACAGACAGACAGGAAGAGTTAAGAACTGTCCTAAAATGAAAAGAACACGAGAACGCACTCAACCCTTCTTTCTCTTCTACGCCAGTGTCTGAATCCCTTTGCTGTAAGATGAAACTTTAATGATGCCCGTGAGGAAAGTGGGTCACTGCAGCCAAATAACAGTATACAAGTAACAAATAAAACAGAACAACATAACAACAGAAGGAAAACAGTAAAGTATACATAAAATGTGAAAAAATCAAAAATCAAATAGCAATTTAATATACTATGAATACATTTATTATTGATTGAAATATAAAATTGATAATGTTTTCATTAAATCTCCAGATGTCAGGCATAACATGATTTCAAATACATGTATGTGTAGGTAGGGACAAAACATACATATTTCAACATCGCCTCTTTAAAGCTCCATTTTCAGTTAGTCTGACAGCATCCTGCAATCAATACTCAGTCTTCTTTATCCTGACATTGATTCTACAGCCAGGAAGAGGAGGAGCATGGGGGATGGGGGCCAGAGGAGATGATGGAGAGAGGAGGAAGTGGAGGAGAGTGTAAATACTGCTGTGTTGTGTCAGCTCCACATCCAGT